AGGGGTTGCTCTGGGGGGCTAATGGAGGGGTTGCTCTGGGGGGCTAAGGGAGGGGCTGCTCTGCGAGCCAGGGGAGGCTGGGCTGGGGGAAGGGGAGGGGCTGCTCTGGGGGCTAAGGGAGGATGTTCTGGGGGGCTAAGGGAGGGGCTCTGCTGGGGGGGGGCTGCGCGCAGTACTGACGGGGTGTGTGTGGAGATGGCGGTGGTGGGAAAGTTGGGGGAGTAGGGTTGGGGGAGGGGAATGGGTAGCAATCCAGAGAGGAAGGGGGAAGGCAACAGGGAGGCCGTGGCCCCCCATCCCAGAGCGGATGGAGCCATCTGGCTGCAAGGCACCGGGTGCTGTGAAGTCTGGAGCGGGGGTTTGATGGGGGTGTCTGGTCCATCCTGTGTAACAGGGTGTCATGCTCTCTCAGCAGGTCTCAGCCGGCCACGCCTCCCTCGGACGGGCCTAGTTGAGCATCATTGCCACTGACCCTCTGCGTTGGGTGGGGCCTGGCCTGTGGTTGGCCGGGCACGATGCCTCGGAAAAGGAAACATTGTCAGCGTGCAGCCCCCCCTCAGCTGGCTGCGGTCGCTGCTGTGGGAACCCCAGTCGTGGCCAGGGCTGGCTCAGGGTGTCGCATACAGCTGGGTCGCAGGACTAGGAGCCCAGCCTACTTTCCCTTCAGCTTCCTGCCGGTGGACTGTCAGCTCCATGTCTTCTCTTTCCTTTCGGAGGTGGAGAAGTGCACAGCTGCCTTGGTTTGTGAAGCCTGGAGCAAGCTGATCCGCACCCCCAGGCTCTGGAGGGTGGCTGACTTCATGAGACTGGGGGCCTTCCAGTCAGGCATGGATTTGGTGCTGGTTTCTGCCAGAGAATTTGAGAGATGGAAAGAGTGGGTCCACCAGTATGCCTATCACCTGACCTCTCGCAGCGCTAGCCTGCTAGTCCTCAGGGCCAGCTTTGATTTGGGTGATCAGAAGACCAAATGGGCTGACTTCCTTTCACGCTTCTTGGACAGTGTCCACTGTGGGGAGCTGCAGGAGCTGGAGCTCAACTGGACCTTGACTCACTTGGAACCACCAGACTTCTACCCGCCAGGCACCTGCAGTATGACTCAGGTCAGCCTGACCAAAATGGACCAGATCAGCAACTTCCAGACCCTTTTGGAGAAGTTTATCCAGAGATCTCCAAAGCTCACCAGGATGAAGCTGCCCTTTGACTGGTCTGCATACTCAGTTGCCATGCTGACCCAATTCCAGCAGCTTCACACCTTGGAGTTGAAATACTTCTGGAGCTTCAAAGGGGTTTGCCCAGAAATCATGCAAGATCTCACCAAAGCCCTGCCCAACCTCAAAACTCTCATCCTTCATGTGCTGGTGCCAGTCAAAGACTTGGGCATCTCCTATTCTCTGGAATCCAGATCCCTGGAGTACTTGGATGTGTCCCAGAGCCGTGGCCTGGTGTTCTGTCACCTCAACCTGCCCTCCCTGAGGGTGCTGAGGATCAAGAAGACGGTTCGGGGCATCATCCTGAACCGGAGGACTAGGCTGGCTCTTCAGAGTCGCTGGTCCTGTCTGTACAGCTTGCTACGGAGTGGCACGCCCAACCTTCGGGTGTTCAACAACCAGGTGTTGCTGCCGCACTGGCGGGAGCAGACGTACAAGGAGCTGAATGCCTTGCTGCTGCAATCATGCTACTGTGTTCAGCACTCCGACACGTGGTTACTGTAAAGATTGATGGTGAAGGGAACAGACAGGAGAACCTGGTTCTCTTGTGTCTAATGGTGTCACTGAAGGGGGTGTATAGCATGAAGAGACCATGTGTTGCCTTGGGAGGGACTAGGTGGCCTATGTGTCTCTGGGCCTAGCATTTGTCAGGTTTCAGGAGAGGCTGCATCTGGGCCCAGTTTGCTCAAAATGGGAGGCTGACTGAGGGATGTTTAGAGAGAAGGACACTCTGTGTTTCTCTTCTACCAAGACAGTAAATGTTCTGTACCGCACAGCTGGTCTCAGCTTTTCATTTATAAGTGCACTTTATGGCCCCTAAGTGATGGCCTGTGTTCCTTACGTACCAGCAAGGGCTCTGAGTACTGCACATAGTAAAATCACACAGCTGCAGCCAGACACGGGTGCCCTGGTTGTCTAAATGCGCTGATGCAGAAGTGAAGATAGAATTGGTAACCTTCTGAGATCAGACCCCCACAAACCTCTGCCTGATGCATTCCCAGGGTAGTTCCATGCTCTTAGCTGGACAGTGTTATCAGCTGGTTAGAGCAGGGAAGCTGGGTTTCCTGGGTTCTTTTCCAGTCACTATCATTATTTTTGGAAATGATTAGACTCATTTTCAAAAGCAGCCTCTCATTTTGGCTGCCTGACTCGAGTTACCTTGCAAGTTGTGGGAGCGCAGCACCTCTGAAAATCAGGACCAAGGGGTCTCGAGTTAGGAACCTCAGTTTTCCATCTTTAAAATGGGAATAAGCCTAACTTACCTCTCTGGGAAGGTGGTGAGGCATTTAGACCCTTGGACTTAGGTGCTGCCAAAATGTAAAGTAGTATTAGAAAGTGGAGGAACATGGATGTTTGCCATTTCCCAGCCAGCAGAAGGCACCCCTTACTTTGTTATGCTGATATATAACCTGACTGATTCTTCAGACCATATCTGTTCTCAGCTGGTTCCTCTGATGCTGGTGGCCAAGTGCTGAGTTGACCCTAATAAAAATTAACAGAGCCCCATCGCTGTCAGTCTGTTCTAACTCCGCACTGGGCCAGGAGTTCTTACTAATGGTTGAATCGGTTTCCTAGTAGCCCCTTCCTAGCCTGGAGGGAGCATATGTGTAATCCTGGCTTTGTAGCGGTGACGCTTCTTGTGGGACGTGGTGTGGAAGACGACATGGCTTTGTGCTGGGGTCCGTTTCATAGGCTGTGATGAGGGACCAGATCCAGAGTTATTCCTCTGAGAAGGGCATCTAGATGCATGTGGCGTTCAAACTGCACAAGTGGCTGGGGAAGAGGGAGCTTCGTTGTCAAATGCTGGCAGGGGGTGATTCCCATGCGTGGTCTCTGCTGCTGTTGATTCTCTTTCCCTCGGGAGGCTTGAGCCAAAAGCCTCTGGCTCAGCTGACCCAAGTAAGGGTTTGTCCAACACCTAGTGCACCGAGGTCCATGACTCGGGCTCCTAGGCACTACAGCTAGACAACTAAATAATCCGGGTCCTACCCCACATCTGTTTGTACCTTCAGTCGAATGAGTGGGGCCCTCCTGCGTCTCCTGCCACTTTCTGATGCCTGAAAACTTGCTTTGCTTTTCCTGTCGCTCCCTCTCTCACAGCCTTTCTCCCCGCGCCGCTGCGCTGTTTCATGTTCACCCCCAGGAGCTCTGCTTGTCTCTGTGCCAGCAGCACTTCAATCTCCATCCCCACAGGGGGTCCATGAGGATAATAGGGAGCACAGCAGCACGTCCAGGAACACTTTACTCCCGTCCTCTGTTCACTGTGCTGGCTTCCCAAAGAACATCAAATCAAGTTCAAGGTCCTGGTCCTCATCGTCCTAGCCTGGACCCAGGGTATCTAAAAGAACCTAAAGCTCCAGGATGCAACTCCACTCCTCTGGCACCATGGGACTCTCAACAATGAGGACAAAGCTCGTTTGTGCAGGAGACACTGTCTCCTCAGGGATCACTCTGAGCCCATGGAATGAACCCCCCCCCCAGGCACCAAGGACCACCCCAAACCACCCCACCGTCCGCTCTGAGCACATTGCCTTGCCTTCTCTAACATAAACATATTGCAGTGTGTGTGTATCTGTGCAAAACAAAACGCCCCCCTGCATGCAGGGAGAGGATGGGAGTGTGGCCATGTTGCTTAATGCGCTCCGGCAGGTGCTCAGATACAGTGAGGAGCGCAGTATAAGAAACTCTGTAGTACAGAATAGATTGGAACTGTGGGGCTCTGCAGCCTGAAGTGATCACAGGCCATGGTGCATCAGTAATGTGCACAGAGTGACTGTGGTTTTTGTTCCTCCTGCACATAGCTGTGCTGGCGGGGGGTTGTGGTTTGGTCACACTGTAGGGTAAGGAGAGGCAGCATTGTACTCCCCTAGTGCCTCAGAGCCCAGTCGGGGCCCAGGACCCCATTGTGCTAGGTGCTCTACAGACACAAGTCAGTCCATGAGAGAGGCAGTTCTGGCTCATGTACTGAAACATGGTAGCTAAGTGTGATCTCATCAGTCTGATCACTCCCCAAGGGTGTGTGGCCATGCTGCCTTCATTCCCCCCATGCTGGTGCAGGCAGAGGGGCTGCTGAAAGCACAGTAAAGTGTCCTATCTCTTGGGGTGTGCTGTTGGAAAAGACGCAACGTGCACTTGCACTTCCCTGAGCTCTGTGGTGACCTGTGTGAACATACAGCTCAGTGTGTGTGGTTGGAAGCAGCCAGGCACTCCAGACGTGCTCTCTCTTGCAAGGTAGAGCTCCCCACCATCCCCTTTGAAGGCTGAAGTCCTCTCTTCCTGGACAGCTCCACTCCGAGCAGTGCAGTGTAAGATCCCCTTTCTCTTTCAGTTGCAGGATTAGTTCTATGGTGCATCTGTTCTCTGCTCTTAATGCATTTTTTTTAAAAAAACATAAGAACGGCCATACTAGGGTCAGACGAAAGGTCCATCTAGCCCAGAATCCTGTCTTCCAACGGTGGCCAATGCCAGGTGCTTCAGAGGGAATGAACAGAACAGGGGATCATCAAGGGATCCATCCCCTGTTGTCCATTCCCAGCTTCTGGCAAACAAAATCTTCTGAAATTTAAAAAAATCCTTCCAGTCCAGATGTGAATTAAGTTTAAAAAAAATCCACTGAGTTGTGGTTCGTTTTTTTTAAGTTTCCCCAAAGTTCTGAAAGCAATTCTTACCAGATGTAAATCACTTCTTCGCTGAGAACATAATGGAACATTTCAACCCAGAATGGAACGTTTTCACCAGAGAATTAAGGGCTTGGACGGGAAATGTCACCATCACTCATAGCATCACAAACATGTGGACTGTATGAGACTCTCAGTTGACAGTAGTTTTAAGCTGGTATCGAGTTAGGTGATTGGAGAGACCCGCTAGTTCATCTTCTACATCAGCCTAGGTTGGGCTAGATCCCGAGAGTATTGCTCTCCCCTGTCCAGTCTAGTTCTAAACAGCTAAAGCAATGATCAGATTTTTAGGCGTGAAGCTGCCAAGCTGTGTCCCTGTTTCCATCCCAAACCTCTTTGGGGTTAGTGGGTTCTCTCTGAACCAAAGGAGTGTTTCAATGTTACTTGCTAACCATGGGCTGAATATTTAAAAGTAAAAACGTGTCATTGAAGTAGTTTTGGTTATAAATACTGAATAAAGCTCCCTAGTTGCACGCAGACAAGGTTGCATTTGGGTCTTGTGTCAATCCAGAATAACTCTTTTGACTTCAGAGGGGATATTTTACATTTCCAGCTGTGTAAGTGAAGTCAGAATCTGGCCCACTAAATGCATTCCAAATCAAATGAATAGCTACCTCAACCTTCCAGCAGTCAGAAGAGAAATCCAGGGCTTGTCTTCAGCTGTGCTGTGTGCACAATCTGTGTTTAGAACTGTGCTGCAAGGAAGCATCTGGATTATTGATCAGATGTCAAATGGCTCATGTGAACCCTTGAGTTATACAGGCTACTGTTTGAATCACCAGCACGCACTGTCCTAGGCTTTGTTGGGAGCCTACATGTTTGTCACTTATCTACAGAAATGGTAAGGACAAATTGTTAACAAAAGTCCTCTTAGCATTCACCTCGTTTGCATTTCAATCTGCACTGCTACCAGTGCTACATTGCTACAACCTTGAGAATGATGCTGTGTCTCTTAGTGCTTCAACTGGTCTTTCCATCGGAGGAACTCAAAAGCACTTAACAGACATTAACAATCTCCCCTAGGAGCTAGGTCAGTACTGGTCCCTTTCACGCATGGAGGAACTGAGATGGAGAGAAGCGAAGCAAGTTGGCTAAATTCCCCAAGAAACCAGATGTGCTGACTCTCCCTGTGCCTTAACCACAAGGCTGTGCTTCTCAAACCACAGAGTGCCTTTCAAACTCCTCTCAGCTGGTGAACTAGAAATGTAATTCAATTAACCTGCATTGATCATCAATAGGAAACACCCCAGGAATTATAATCCTCAATATCCATAACTGAATTAAAGTTGCTTATGCCCTAAACCTGACGTGTCAATAGATGTTTTGTGGGATTCCCCTCCTAGCAATTAGACTCTGTGCTATCAGCACCTTTTCCGCTCGTACATTTTTGAGCTGATGGTTTCTTGGGCAGCCTCAGCGCTGACTGACAGATTCTTCTCTCCTACAGTTGAGGTGGCTAGAAATGAAGGATTTTTGGGCTGGCTTGGTCAGGATACCGGAATCTCTCTTGGAAGTGAATTGACTAAAGAGCAACAATTGCTTCCCAAACGGTGCATCAGTTACATTCATGTGCCGGAGCAGAGTTTAGATACGTGCAGTTCAACTGTTTCTTTCTCCCAGCAATTGCTGGGCGTAGGGCACAGGCTGATAGTGCACTGTCCATGCATGCTAAGAAATGACGTATAGCCTTGAAGGTATGAACTGATGCAGCAATGAGGAGTCAGAGGTGTAGTTCCAGCTTCAGAATGCTGTTTTGCACTCCACCTCTGTTCACTTCCAAACCTTGCTGCAACCCGAAGCTCTTCAGAGCGCACTGCTAGCAGATTGTACGGCAGGAGAGACCCTTAATGCTGGTGCTCATAGCAGAAAGAATTTCCATGCTTACATGCAACAGTGGGGCAGCATGATCTGATGGTCAGAGCATGGGACTAAGAATCTTGGGATCTACCGGCTCTGCCCCTAACTCACTTGGGCAAGTCACTTTAATCTCAGTTTCATCATCTTTAAAATGGGCATAGGCGTACTGTCTCCCAGGGAGTGGGGTGTTTGTAAAGCATGATATAGCTGGGTAGCTAATGTCCTCCAAATCTCTAATGCAGCACTACCCATTCTGTAAGGGGAAAGGTATTGATGGAAGGCTTTTTTGTGGTTAGCACATGGGAGTGGGAGGCAGGACTCCTGGATTCTATTCCCAGCTCTGCCACTGACTTGCTGAATGACCTTGCATCAGTCACTTTCCCGCTCTGTGACTCAGTTTCCCCATCTGTACAAAGGAGCAGAGAGGCATAGTTCATTTGTGTTTGCTAAGAGCTTGGATGCAGGGGAAAGGAAGGAGCTACACAACAGTTCAATATGAGGGGAGCAAAATGTTAATTTAAAGGGCTGTTTTGTGGCAAGTGAGGGATCCTGACTCAAATGAAGCACACTACGGAACATCTTGGGCAAACATCTCCATGGTATGGGTGGGCAAACCCTCACACAGAGAGGTGACTTGACTTGCCTGGAGTCACCCAGCAAGTCAGGAATAGATCCCAGATCCTCGTGACACTTGGCCCAGTGTCCTCACTATTTGTCCATGCTGCTTGTCCTGGCGTGTCAAGTCACAGTTCCCTTGGCTACGTCTTCTGTGCATCCCGCGCTGAGGTAGGCACCACTGCTTTGCCACGGACCGTAAGAGACTGCAAAACAGAATGAGCTCAGACGTTAGTATTTGTTTTCCAAAAGCCCCAAAATGTGCTGGGTGTTCCCCTCCCACCATAAAAACAAGGAAGGGGTGTGCAGTCTAAATTAAATATAATTCACGCCCCCCCCTCCTCCCCACAGCTGTTGGAATAGGGGTGGGATTGTCTTCCCCTTCTAAATACCATAAAAGATGTATTCCACCAGTCTACTGCTAAAAACACAGGACACAAATACTAGTAACAATAACTGGCCTTTATACAACACCTTCCTGCTGGGGATCGCAAAGCACGTTACTAAGGTGGATAGTTGTTGTTGTTGCTGTTTGACAGAGGAAACTGAAGCACAGAGAGATTAAGGGACCTGCTCAAGGCTACAAAGGGAGTCCTAGGCAGAAATGAACGCTGGTCTTCAAATCCTCAGACTTCTGTTCTAACCACCAGCCAGTGCTGCCTCTGCAGCTGTTTAGGCCGGGTCTGTAACGTTTTTGCTGTGGCTGCAGAAATGGTATAAATTGCTAATAGACCCTTTCCTCGGAGCTGGATTGACGTGAGCTGTAGCGTAACACAAAGAGCAATGTTGGCTTTAGCTGAATCATAGAAGATAGATATGAAACTGACCTAGTTGGTTGTGCAATCCATCTCCCCGTCAGTGCCTATTTTTTTGCTAGTATTTTGCCCAGTCTAGTGTTAAATTTCCCAAGCCACTGGGCTGAAAGAAACCATAGAATCCCCCACGGTCCAGCCCGCTGTTTGCTAAGTGGATCTGACATGTTCAAAGAGTAAAACAAGCCTCAGAGACCAAAGGCAAGGTGTATTGCAATGCTGTTCTGCTCTGAAAAGCGCTCTCTCTAGCAGCAGTACCATGGGACGCCGTGTTCATTGCCGCCTGCTGGCTCCGGTCAGATTAGCTTTAGTTCCTTGTGAATAGGGGTTTGTGTTGCTGGAGATGCCCCCTGAGATCGGCAAGGCAAGTGGGGTGCTTCCCTGCCTCCTGGGGGTAGAATCATAGAATATCAGGGTTGGAAGGGACCTCAGGAGGTCATCTAGTCCCACCCCCTGCTCAAAGCAGGACCAATCCTCAACTAAATCATCCCAGCCAGGGCTTTGTCAAGCCAGGCCTTAAAAACCTCTAAGGA